AGTGTGTGAGGTGTGTCCCGCCTATGGCAACAAGCACCGGCGCAGGCACACACTCTCGTGGCGTTTAATTTTTGTCGACATTGTCCCATTCATTGTGGCTTGCCTGACACAACCCATCCATGCCTTTTTCCACTGGTTGTGTATCATTGGTGCTGTGGTCCGTGCCTTGGATGCGCAGGACGCCCTGCTGGCGGTGACCCGGTCCCTCGGCTGGGACAGCCTGCGGACCTGCTGGCTGGAGACCTGTCTGGCGGCCCGGAGCGACCACGAGCGACACACCCTCGCGAGCCAGGCCCTCCGGTTCGTGATAGCCAACGGGGGCCACGTGAAGGCGGCCTCGTTTATGCTCGGGGTGGGCGGGGCGGACGCGAACGAGGTGGACTCGCGCCTCCTCTCTCCGCTCCACCTCGTCGCCATGTTCAACCGCCCAGACATCGCAAGGGTGCTGCTCATGTGCGGTGCGTCTCCGCGGCTGGTCGGCGGGGTTACCCGGGCCGCCGCGGCTCGAGGAGGGAAGCTCTGGTCCCCCTTGGAGATGGCGGAGGAGGTGTGCACGGAAGGGGGCGCCCTGGACGACGGTGAGAGAGATGGCACGGGGTCATCATCATGAGAGGGGCGTACTCTTATGTTTTGCATGCCTTAGCGGTTAGACCATTGACCACGCGTCCTCGAGAGGACGGAGCATTGTTCCCACAGGACCGATCACCGATGGCCAATTGTTCCTTTCTACTTTGCCGGTGGTGGCTCATAAATGTTTCCCTAGTCTGTCTATCCTAACGATATCCCTTCCCGCCTTTTCAACCCACCTCCTATGCCGCAGTACAGCTACCGTCCTTTCCTCTCTATTCCATGCCTCAAACGTCTCACTGTACGTCCTATCTATTTTTCCCAGCTCAGTCACGTACACTTCCCTCTCCTTCTTGTACCACGGACATTCCGCGACTACATGAACACGGTCTTCCCATTCGAAGCCGCAATCACATCTGAACTCGTCGTCTTCGTCGTCTACCGTCCTATGTCTTCGTCGAGGTTCTCGAAGGCCTATGTCCCCGGTCCTGAATTTGACCTTAAGCTTTGTTCCTGCATCCATTGGTCCATGTAGGTAATCCTTGAACCCTATTCCTTCCTTCAACATTCCGTACACTTCTAGACCCTCCTTATCCTTGGATTCTTCCCTTAGATGCCGTTCTTCTCTCTCGGCACAAGCAACAGATATCTTCTCCTTGAATCCCTTTAGACCGTCCGTTTCCAGCGTTTTATCTTCGTCGATGTCGAGCCCCTTCCACACGTCCTCTACAACCTTGACCCATTCCGTGGGTTGTCTACCCCTCTTTTTGTTTGCCCACTTCGCCTCCCATGCAATTCTCGGCAACCTCTCCTCTCCCATCCCGCACATGCGATACTGCCATGTCAGCTTCCTCGCGTCTCTTCCGGACCGTAGGGATTGGATCCCCAATTCTGCCCTGACGGCTGCATTACTTGTGCGCTTTGAGCATCCTAGGATGATTTTCGCTGCTTTCATCTGCGCCGCCTCGAGTTCTTTCACTACCTTCTTATTTCCTTCCCATTCTTCCCCGGCGTACTCTAGCGGCGGTACGATTACGCTCTTCAAAACCGTCAATTTGATGCGTGTATCGAGGAGCCGGTTTGCGAGTATCGGGTGCAGCTTCCCTGCTCGTGCTGTGCGGGGGGAGGCGGTTCTCATATTGCCAAGAGTGCATGATGCAAATCGTCGAATGCCTTGCTTTGGCGGGCCGCTTGGTCGTATGTCGTATTTTTTTTGCGTTGTGCAAGAAGAGTTTCGTCTGCGAGTTTTTCGTTTATTTGCCGTCGGTATGGGGAGACTGGTGAACCTGTTTCCGTTTATTCTCTTTCAGAGCGACCCGAACTGAATGCATGTTGGTCTGGAGGCTACGAATGTGCCTGCTCAGAAGTACATTTGTATATTTTTTTAACGCTTAAATTCGCTCCGCCCGTCGTCGCAATCTTCTTCGCACGTCGTGCTTTTGCTGTTGCTTCTCTACGGTTTTGCTTGTGTTGCTTGCCTGCACGGCGCCGCTGCAGCGAGTGTCGCGGTAGGGCCTGCGGCGCTGTACGTCCTTCGGGGCCTGGTGTGCCTCCAGTGCAACCTCAAGCTGCCGAGACCCGAGCGGTGCGGGACTTGCAAGCTGACCTTCTGTAAGTCGTGTCGCGGAAGCCACTTCTGCGTGGGGAAGCTCAACCTGCCTCGAGGAGTTGCAGAGATCGGGGAAGGCGGTGGCGGAGGCCGTACCAGNGAAGGCAGTGGCGGAGGCCGTACCAGGCCGGGGAGGGGGGGTAGTGGTTCGAGAAGCGCCGGTTCAGGCGGAGGTGGCGGAAGGGCTAGGCTTGAGAGCGCCACGCTATGGGAGTTGGGAGGGGCGATTGGGGACGACTGGGAAGAGCTGTTCAGCGAGGTGAGGGGGGAGCGAAGGAAGGGGGAAGGAGGGGTACGCTTATGACGCAGGTGTTGGACTTTCAGGGGAGAGATGGATCGGGGGGGGGGCGGGGGGCGGGGCTATCTGTCGGCACGAGGTCGCTGGCAAGTGAAATCAGGGGGTGAACACACCGAACGGTAAACCGGTCTTGTTGCCGAGCCCCCTAGTCTCGGGGTAAAAGAAGCGGCCCGAACACGGCCACGATTGGTCTATCGTACCACGTCCCGCCCGAAAACTTTCCACCTCAATCAAACCGGCGTACGACTTTTGAAACCTCCTTGTCCAGTTCAAAAACAGCTAGCTTTTGCTGGCCTTGTCCAGTGCAACTAATTCGTACCTCCGAGGGGCCGACGCGTTAGCTTACCCTTTTTCCGCTGCTGCTGATGGGATGACCCGCACTGATTTACTTGCCCCGCCGCTTGCTTGCTCGCGAAACGGCAAAAAAACAAAAAACAAAAAAATGCACACAGGGAAACGCAAACGCCCGCGGCGGAGTTGCCCGTGGATCGGGTGTGGAGGAGGACAGCTGGAAGCCGGGGGGGCTCCGACGGTCGGGCCCCGGAACGATCACTTCGACCGAAGAGATCATGGAGGCTAGCGTCGGGTCGTCGTGCCTGTCCATGTCCTCGTCCCCTGTTTCGTGGGAGACGATGCCTTCGGTCCTGCTGGGCACGTGGGAGCGGAGGCCGCAGACGACGGTCCCTAAGGACCGGCACAGGCTGTTCGACAACTCGGCCGCCTTCGTTCGCGCCTGCTTTCCCGCTCAGGTGGGCGTTGGTGTCCTTGCTGGTGCTGTTGCTGTTATTCCTGTTTTTGTTGATCTTGTCACCGAGCACCGCTGTTGTGCTGGTGCTCCTTTGGCGCTGGCGTGAACCATGCCCCAGCAGCAGGATCTGTACTGCTTACCAAACCGAGGCGATGAGAGGACAGTTGCGATGGCTTCGATATTAGCCCTCAAGAATGGGCGTCTACGTGGCGCTTTGCATTTTTGCACGAAAGAACTCCAGTTACGCGCGTTTGTTCTTCGAAACTGCCTTTTTCGTGGTTTTGACGCGAGCAGACATGGCTGCAGCATCACATGGAAGAGGAGATGGGTTTATCGCTCGGAGGAACGCTTTCTCGGCACGGCTGGGGCGGACCGTTCAAGGGTTTGGGTAAGACAGCGCAATCCTGTTGTGCACCGCAGGGGCACCAAACGGCTGCCCTGCGTGCAATTGTTCCCAAGCTTGCAGTATCTGGGGTGAACCTAGACGTTTGGCATTTTCGGGACTCGCTTGGGAGTTCCTGGTATCACACAGGCCCGCACGCGTCCCTTCCCGAAGACCATATGAACACCCACAGTGTCGCCCACATATTCCAATCGTACTATCCTGTTCAAACTCTTAGCCTCTTTAGCTATGCCTTTGGCTACATGACTGAAGACAGTCCGCGGAAGAGTGTGACACCTCCTCCCGCTATCCCTCGACAAATGCCCGAACAACAGGAATGGATGGCGAGCACTTCAATCCCGAAATCATGCAAGCGGCTAGCTCCACGGGGCTACATAGACACATGAGCTGGGTGATGGCTGAGTCGGGGGTTCCGTGGGAGGCGAATGACGACGCCTGGTGCTGCCCGGAGTGCTTCATTTTGTTCTCTCTCAACGTGTTCCGGGTGAGAAAAAGATGGCAATCCCGCCGAGGCGAGAAGTGGCGAGAGAGATATACACAAGAGAACGGAATTATAGCAGTCAACGGAAAGAGTGGACGACACACCCGATGTCGTTGGGGTGTTAGGATTCGCGATCGTAAAGGGCTCAGATATAGAGATTCGGGACCCTCCGCCCCAGGGAGGTAGGCTTCGCGAGGAGGTTGGAGGGTTGTCCTGCTGAGAGGCCAACTTGATGAAGGCAGCAAAAAGGAAACGATTGGGTTGTTGACACAAGATGTCGGCGAGCCCGCCGTATCACGCCACCTCAATTCGTTTTTTTCTGGGGTGGTGTTGTAATGCCCAACCCTTGCGTTGCGACTCACCTCCCCTTCACCCCTTCACCTCCCCTTCACCCCTTCACCTCCCCTTCACCCCTTCACCTCCCCTTCACCCCTTCACCTCCCCCTCGCTCAGCACCACTGCCGGGGCTGCGGCCAAGTATACTGCAGCGCCCACGCCCCGCCCACACCGGTGCCGTCCGATGACCGACCCCTCAAGCTGTGCTGGTCGTGTGTCCTGGAAGGGGCGGTTCCTCTCCCGGCTTCCCTACTGGGAGAGGATGAGGACGACGACGAGGACGATGACGACGACGACGTTTTCGACGAGAATTCAATACTGGGTATGTCCCCGAGCAGCGCTCGAGGGATCGCGGCGGAGCAAGAGCTCCTGTCCCCTACCGTGGCCGCGATGAACTTGGACGCCGCGACCGCAGCTGCTGCCGCCGGGGCCGCGTACATCGCGCCGTCGCAACATAACCCGGACTACCTGAGGGGGCAAACTGGTAGCGAGGGAAGGCTCGGCGGAAGCGGCGGAGAGCGAAAGCCGCGAGGGCACAGGGCGAAAGCGGGCAGCATCGGCGGCAGTATCGAGGGAGGGCGCGGCGGCCGCGGCGGCGGCGGCGACGACGAGCGAAAGCAGCGAGGGCACAAGAAAGCGGCCAGTGTCGGCGGCAGCGGTTTCCTGTCCGCCCTTGTGTCTCTGATAGAGGTCGTGGCCAGCCCTACCTCTCCCATGCGGTCGCGCGGCGGCGGCGGCGGTGGTGGTAAGAAGCCCGACGTGGTGCCCGGGCGCCCACCGCAATCTCCCGCGAAGCCGCCGGCCGTCGCCGCTGGAAGTCGAGGGGGCGATGCCGGCGACGCCCCGGGTGTAGGAAAAGGAGTCGGGCGAGGAGGAGGAGGNAGGAGGAGGAGGAGGAGAAGGAGAGAACTGGCGAGCGGGTTGGTCTACGCTGCCTCCCTCCGGAGAGGGCCTGGCGATAGAAGTCCAACAGCAGCCCTCGGGGGGCAGGGGCCAAGAGAGCGAGTCGTCTCCTTTGCGGCTGCGCAAGGAGTACGACTCGGGGTCGGGAAGCCGCACCCAGTTGTCCCCGCTGAGGCTACGGAAGGAGTTCGGGGGTTTCAACTCGCACTCAACGGGAGGTTCCTTGACCGAGTCTGTCGACGACGGTGGTGGAGCGAACGGAACCGCGCACGGAGTTGCGGATGGAGCGGTGTTGTTCGAAGAGACCCCGCCGCCGGAGCTGGGCTTCCCGAGTGAACGGCCGTGGGCCCTCGGGTTCGGGAATTAGATCAGATCACGGTGGCGACGACCGTGCCAACTGAGTCACCGTAGGGTTTTTACTCTGTGTAATACTATCGCAAGCTACGCATTCGGCTATCAATAGCGACTTAGCTCTCTGTTGGGAGCGATGCGAAAAAACATGTGTTTATTGTTGTTGGGGTGGGACGTGAATGCGGTGCTTTGTTGTGTGTGTTGTCCAGTTGGTTTTTGCTCCCATGTGAAAGTATTTTGTGGTTTTGGCCCGCGTCATGTCCTGTCAAGGAGTCTCGTTGTGTTGTGTTGTAAGTTGCTGCGTGTTTTGTTTTCTTCATCATTTTAGAAACCGCTCTGGCATTGGCGCAGCGCTTCCTCTTCACGTGTACTTCTAGGGAGTGAATTTATTGTGCCCGCAGTTGTTTTCGCGCGTTTACGAGCGCACCCATGGTGAAATGTGGTAAGGTCGAAAGGACCCTGGAAAGAAAACATCACTCGCGAAACCCCCAATCCAAGAAGAAGGCCACAACAGGAGTTTTAGACCCCTACCTCGGAGTCCGAGTGTGGGGACACATTATTGTCGTTAGTCTGACCGAATTGGCTTGCGCAAATTCTTTACCAGCGCTATGTACAGCCTGTGGCACCCAATAGAAACGTGTTTTCAATGTATGGTGTTCTGAAAATGTAGAGAGGGATATGACATCGAGGTATGTCTTTGTCTCATTGTTTTTTAACAAGAGTCGGCACGTGCAACAGCGGCGTTAGTTTCCTGCCTTATTTTGCCGTGGGATAGGCCGAGGTGCCATGGCATGTAAACTTCCATCAGCAGGGTCTGCTGTGTGAGTGTCCCACAGGAGCGGTTTTCAGTTTCGGACGTTTTTCTCGAAGGAGGCGGGAGGAACAATCTGTTCCGTTCCTCACCCGCACGGCAAGGGTGCTTTAGACGTGAATGCGAAACTTTTCAGCGGCTTGAGTGGGTACCCCACTCCCGGACGCACACGATGAATGTTGCTCTCAAGGGAGCCGCTGCACCGTGTGCTCGTTTAATCAAACCCTTGACTACCTTCTCTTCAAAACGCACCAACGGTGAGATGAGGCATCCCACCAGCCCCGGAACGTGAAGTCAGCCCTCTTCATGTTCGGTAGGGTGGAGGTGATCTCGAGTTGCAGGGCTTTTGCTTCACCACCCCCAGGCATTCTCCTCCATCTATCCTGGCAGATCTCTGACCATGCCTTTCCACCTTCATCGAACAACGCCCCCTACAGTGCCTCGAGGGCTTCCCCTTTCGGGTCGGGATCAACGAGGGCAACGTACTACTATCGCCGCCGAGGCTGCTTAGACGCCGAGACTCGTCGTCATGTGCCCTATGTCTCATGAGTTTGAACCCACCACGGCCCACGCTTACCTACATGGACCAACGGATGCAGGGACAAAACTTAAGGTCAAATTCAGGACCGGGGACACAGGCCTTCGAGAACGTCGGCGAAGTCGGCAGGTTCAAACGTGATTGCGGCTTCGAATACGAAGGCCGTGTTCATGTAGTCGCGGAATGCCCGTTGTACAAGAAGGAGAGGGAAGTGTACGTGACTGAGCTGGGAAAAATAGATGGAACGTACAGGGAGATGTTTGAGGCATGGAATGGAGAAGAGAGGACGGTAGCTGTACTGGGGCATAGGAGGTGGGTTGAAAAGGCGGGAACAGATTTCGTTAGGATAGACAGAATAGGGAAGACATTTTTGAGCCACCATTGGCAAAGTACGAATGAACGATTGGCCATCGGTGATCGGTCCTGTAGGAACAATGGTCCGTCCTCTCGAGGACGCGTGGTCAATGGTCTAATCGCTAAGGCATGCANGGAGAAGAGAGGACGGTAGCTGTACTGGGGCATAGGAGGTGGGTTGAAAAGGCGGGAACAGATTTCGTTAGGATAGACAGAATAGGGAAGACATTTTTGAGCCACCATTGGCAAAGTACGAATGAACGATTGGCCATCGGTGATCGGTCCTGTAGGAACAATGGTCCGTCCTCTCGAGGACGCGTGGTCAATGGTCTAATCGCTAAGGCATGCAAAACATAAGAGTACCCCCCCCACACACACCCCGCCCCCTCTCGTACTGCTCTCGTCTTCGGCTACAGGTGGTACACTTTCACTTCCATACAAACAGGCAGCCGCGTGCAATATTGCGCGTTTTTCTTGCACACCACCTTTGGATATTCCCATCCCTTCCCGACACCCAGCGAAAGAAAACACTGCTTGCAACTTTATTACACTTGTTGTTGTTGACGTTGTTTTTACACACGAAAAGTCGTTCTGACCGTACCTCTTCTTCTCCTGTTCTTGGAACTCCAGCGATAACGAGCTAAACCAAATCCCCTTGAGTTCATCATTGTTTTCTACAGTAACTCGAGCATTTGACGCGGCAAAAATCCTTTCTTCCCCCGCTCATCTGCTCATCGAGACGCGCGAGACGTCATCCGCCATCCTATCAGTGTTAAGGTTCCCGCCAGCCGCCGCCCCTTCCAAGTTGCACCCGTTCGTCGTCGCCCCCGATCTGCCGGGGCTCCCGCCGGCGTGAGCATCGCACGACGGCGGTAGCATCCCCCAGATGAATATGCCACCCTCGGACCCGACCGAGACGATGATCTTGCGGTCGGGCGAGATTCGCACCGCGGCCACGCTTCCGCTGTGCCCCGTGCCGACGCTCATCGTCAGGCCGTCGTCGTAGTGCCACACCTATTAATAGTTGTGCGACAACGAACGCAATCGGGCGGGGTCAAGCGGTTGCCGTTTGCTGGACAGTTCGCTTGTTGTGTACTGAAAGCCTTGCACCAAGCGCGTGTTTATTCCCGGGAGCACCACGTAACGACAGGCAGGCCTTCAGGATTAGACATAAAAGGCCTCCCGACGAGCGCGGAGCTTGCGAGTGTCAATTGACACGGACTGGGCGAATCTGGAACGCAGAAAAAAACCGTAAGACCGACGGATCAAATATACTCCTGGTAATATTACCGTGCTTTCTTACTTGCATCCCCGCCAGACACGAACGAATGTCCTTCCCGGACAGGCTCGAGCGGACGAAAATAAAAAAGGGTGGCCGAAGAATCCACAGGACAAAAGCTACCCCGCACAACCCAAAACAACTGTCAGCCCCAACCCCGTCCCAAAGGAAGCCAACGTTTTGGAAAAGTTCCGTTCTGTTCAAGCTGGTGTCAGGCTTGCTTGGTCTAAGCTGATCCACACCGACACCAATCCCAACTGTATCGTACCTTGGCACAACCCCCTCCCTTCTACTTCGTTGGCGTGTGATGAAGAAATGCCGCCTGTCTTGCAATTGTCCCGCATCTAGTCTAGCCTAACTGTATTATTGGCTCGGATGTTATCGCACGGTACCTTAACAAGCCCGTCGTCCCCGCCGGACACGAACGCCTCCCCCGAAGGCTCCACGTCGAGGGTGTTCATCTCCTCGTCACCCCCCTCGATCACGCGGATGGCGGTGCCGTCGTACGCGTCCCAGTACGTGATCTTGTTCGTTTCGTTCGACGTGCACGCGAGACCGTCGAGTTTTGCAATGTTGGAAGCAAATGAGATTTGTCCGGAGAAGAGCAGCTCCATGGTGGACCAGCGTAACACCGGAAAACGTGTGTCTAGGCACCCATTGTTGATTTCGCACCCATCGGTGTTATGGCACCGGCGTGCCCCCAAAAATATAGAACGGCATGATGTCCATTGCATTCCCGCAGCGGTACCATCGGTGTTGTGGCACCGGGGGGGGGGG